TCGCTGGCGGGGAACAAGCCGGCCAACGCCGTCCTGCACAAGGGTAAGGGCCGCGGCGGCCCCGCGCGGGGGAGGGCCCACAACGCTGCGTAAGTCTTCACCCCGCACCCCTCAAAATCTTCCCAACCCTCTGACCCCGCTACCCTCTGAACCACCCCCCTCTGACCTCTAACCCCACCCCTGCCCACCTGGCACCGCCTTGGATTTTAGCCTCTAGGACTTGTGCAAGCCAGCCCTCATCCATGCCTGATAGCATTCACATCTGTGCCCCATAGAGGGACCTGCCCCAAACTCCATGTCCCCTCCACACAACGGGGCCTCTTTATTGGCGGTGCCTGCCATACTGCTAACGTCATCCAGTTAGGGGCCTTGGCCTATGTATGCACCATACAAATCCTTGGTTCTGATAAAACAAATCACATTCCCTCACATCTCTCTCACCCCATGTGGCAGACACTACCACCCATCTGACCCTATCCCATGAAGCTTCCCTTTGACCTTCGACCTTCGACCTTTCCTCCTACCCCCTCTTACCCTGCCAATGATAGAGATTATGTCCCAAAGCCCTCTAACCGTCTAATCCTGCGTGATGTAGTGACTGACTCCTGGCCCCTTTGATCCCTGTTCTAATTCCTCGAATCTGTAATACTGACCTTCTAACCTCCCTCTCCCCTTACATATGAAAACCTTGATTCGTTAAAGCTTTGACACCACTTACCACCTCCCATGCCTCCTGACTATTTCCTCCCCATCATCCCCAACCCCAAACCTTGCTCTTCCAGTATGAGATGTTCTGACAACTCCCCGCCCCCATGTTTTCCAATGTCCCCCCCCATCCTCCTTTTCTTCATACTCCCTTTTTCTTTCTTCTTTCTTTCCATTTGTCTTCTGTGGTCATCTGTTCTCTCTGTCTTTCTTCCTGATGCTTTTTCTTCTCCCCTGAGTTGCTTCCGTTTTCTGTCTACTTGTTTTACTTCCTTGATTTCTGGTTCTTTGACATCCGTATCCTTCTCTCTTGCTCTTTTTCTGCCTGTATCTGTCCATCTGATGCCTCTTTTCCTGGCTCCATCTCTCTATTTCCCTGTCTTTCTCTTCCCCTTCTTTCTCTGTGGCCCGGGCCCCAGTTCTGAACCAGCTGGAGGAGTTGCTGAGCGACATGAAGGCGGACGTGACCCGCCTGCCAGCCACACTGTCGCGAATACCCCCCATCGCAGCCCGCCTTCAGATGTCCGAGCGCAGCATCCTCAGCCGGCTGGCCAGCAAGGGCACGGAACCTCACCCCACACCGGTAACCCTCTTTCCCCCTAACTCCAATTTTTCCTGTTTGTGTTCCTCCTGCACACATACAAACACTTCCATCAGAATCCTATACAATATGGAGAAATAACTTGCTAGAACACAGTCGTCACCCTTGAGTGAGTCTCCCTGCCTGTGTGTCCTACCCTCAGTAGTTGTAGAGTGTGCTTGATAATGTCTCTCCTGCAGTTTCTTTCCTCTCACAAACTATGAACTAACTCCAACTTCTGCTTACTCTGTTCCAGGCCTTCCCCCCGGGTCCCTACGCTACACCTCCGGGGTACGGGGCAGCCTTCAGCGCCGCACCCGTAGGGGCCTTGGCCGCCGCAGGCGCCAATTACAGCCAGATGCCAGCAGGGTCCTTCATCACAGGTCAGCTGGTGTTTTCCTACTTCCTGCTACTCACACTCCTCCTTTGCCACATTTTATCTCTGCTCAGCTGCCCTTTAACTGCCCTAGTCCATCACATTTCCTTGGTGATGTCTGGTGTTTTATGGGATAGAGTTGTTCTAGGCTGTCCCTCCCATCCCTTTCTTAACCCCTCTTCTATCCACTTTATCAAAAACCAGAGTTGTAGTAGTTCTGTGGCTTGGTGTCTTCTACCCGAGCCACCTCCTTCCGAGTTCCTTCAAGGGAAAGTGAGTATGAAACCCGAGGGGGTATAGTGAGAGTGGGAACACATGTTCAATCATGTGGCACAGAGTGGAATCTCAGGGAAAGGGGTTTGCCCTAGTCTTCCCACCTTTACCTGGGGCAACTCGAAATGGCAGGAAGTGACCTAGAAGTGAGCATATACCCTTGTCATGAAGTGACGTTTGGGAGTGATGTGGGGATTAAACTTTCCTTACCCCCTTCCCAAACAGCCGCCACCAACGGCCCTCCAGTGCTGGTGAAGAAGGAGAAGGAAATGGTGGGGGCATTGGTATCAGACGGGCTGGATCGGAAGGAGCCCCGAGCCGGGGAGGTGATCTGTATAGACGACTGACTGGATCCCAGGCCTGCCCTTCACCCAGGCCCCGTCCCCGAGGCCGACCCCCAGCTCAAGCACTGGGGCCTGCTGCCAACCCTCCGCCTTCCCCACCCCTTGGGCCATCACTGGGCTAGGAACCCCTTTGCCCTTCTCTGCAGCTCCTCTCTTCAAGAAGGGCCCTTTGTCTTTCTCCACTCCCACGCACCTTTCCCACCAAGCCTTGAAGACTGTGCTGGTGAGAAGAGGTCTGGGTGGGAGATGGTTTGCAGGGTCTTCCAAGTACCTTCATCCCCCACTGCCAAGTATACACAACTTCCCAGTAAGTGGTTGTGGGGAGGAAAGAGGTGGAGCCTCCCCAGTCGTTTCCCTGCAGTATCAGCTCCATCTCTTGCAGAAGTGGAGGATTAGCCTTGCCTGGCCTTTAGGAACTTTTGTGGGGAAGACAGCTTTGAAGAGAGGAGGGGGACTTTTAGAGAGGGACGAAAATGAGCCCTGGGAGGGAGGAAGGGAAGAGGAGGGGTGGCTGCATGTTACCTTCCCTACCTCTCCCCACATGGAGGGTGGAGCAGTTATGAGGGAGGAAGTCAATTGCTGTTCAGCCTCAGAATAAAGGCGCCGTTCACTGGCTCAGTTACCTCCTGTGTACCAGCATCTTGTGTTGGGAATATTCCCCCCTCTCTAGGGACCAAGGACCACTCCTACAAAAAGAGTAATGGTTGGGTGATACTCCCTCAAGCCAAAGAGGAGCTCCCCAACCTGTTCTAGGGACCCAGGTAACCTAGAAGGGTGGGACAGAATACAGTGGGCCAGACATGGGGGAAGCTGCCAGCTCTGGGGCCCAGGTTCCTGGAAGACTTTACTACCCTCCCTCCTCAAGGCCTAGATACAGACTACATTCGCTAAGTCAGGCAGGGGACCTAGTCAGGGTCTTGGGACCTACCTTGTCGTTGGGACCAGAGCAAAATAGTGGAGGGCAGGTTAGGGAAATGTGGGCACATCCCCCATGCCAGGAGGGGCCAGGGAGAGTGGCAGTTTGCATGGCGAACCCCCCACTTCCTCTTTGCTGCCCCTTCACCTTCTTGCCACCCCTTTCCCAGTATCTCTTCACACCCACTCCTGGTCTGTCCTGATCCCCTCTTCTGTATCAGGTTTATTGGTTGTACATATAAATTATACTTTCCTTTCTGTGTGCTCTGTTATTTTTTATGGGGTGGCGGGGAGTTTTTGGGGGGAGGGATAAGAAAGGTTGTTGCTTTCTGCCTTTTCTTTTAAAAAAAAAATTATGGCTTTTTTTTTTCTCATTTTTATCTCTTGGATCATTCACTAAAACTGAAGTTCTTCCAGCCCCAACTATGTGATAGGCTCAGTGTAGAGAAGGAGGGTGAGCAGCAGATACCTACATGGCTTCAGGCTGACTTCAGAGAGAGTGGGACTTACTGGACAGAAGTGTAGTGGGAGGAGTGCCTAGCAAGATTCGAAACTGCCTTCCAGCCATCCTTCTGATCATCCTTTCCACCTTCAAGTTGCTTAGTTCCCCTAAGAGTCAGTAGAGGTCACTACAGCTCCACAGGTTCAGTTCCAGTATGAAGCAAAGGCACACTTTTTTTTTTTTTTTTTTTAAGGAGGGTCAGCTCTGTCTAGCTTACCGAAGATTTGAACTGCTAAGCACCTCCTGGATGTTTATTGTTCATTAAACAGAGCCCCTCAGAGATTGAGAGAGGCCAGATACTTAGTTCACAAGGCGATTGTATTAAAAAATAAAAGATAAAAACCAAACAAATATTTATTGAGTACATACTATACATTAACACTGCTGTTGGCCCTGGAGATAAAACAGTCACAAGTCAGCCCTTGCTCCGATGGGGCTTACGCTCCAGTGGGGACACCCACAAAGCATGAAAATAAAAGCAGTAAAAATAAAACAGGGCATTATGTTACTGAGGGGTGGGGTAAAAGGCTCTACTACGTTGAAGGCAGAAAAAGGCCTCTCAGAAGAGGGAGGATTAAGCTGAGACATAAGAACAGGAAAATGCCAAAACAGGGTTACAAAAATTGAGGTTTATTCCCTGTAAATATATACAAGTATGATCTGTCAATAAAAAACAATATATTTTTAAAAGTTTGGAGACCCCTAAAAAAATTGAAGTTAATAATAAGTTCACATTTTTAACTAAAAAATGTAACACAGTAGGTTAGGATTTCTTCAGCAATAGAATGTTACTTCACAACTTTAGATAAAATAATCTATCAATCATAGCTATTATGCTTTAAATATTCTACCTACAGATGGTGATATCCTAAAGAGTCTAGGATCTAGACCAATGGTACTTAAATTTTCACATGCACACAAATCACCTGGGATTTTTAAAATGCGAGTCTGGCAGGGCGCAGTGGCTCATTCCTGTAATCCCAGCACTTTGGGAGGCCTAGGTGGGTGGTTCACCTGAGGTCAGGAGTTTGAGACCAGCCTGGCTAACATATCGAAAACCCCATCTCTACTAAAAATAGAAAAATTAGCCAGGTGTGGTGGCAGACACCTGTAATCCCGGCCACTTCGGAGGCTGAGGCAGGAGAGTTGCTTGAACCTGGGAGGCAGAGGCTGCAGTGAGCCTGGGGCGACAGAGCAAGGCTCTGTCTCAGAAAAACAAAAAACTCTGCCAGAGTCTGATTCAGGAAGTCTGGAGTGGGATCCTGGAGTGAGACTGCATTTCCATCAACAGTACACCAACACTGCTGGTCTTTGACTATGACTATATGGTGGTAAGATACAGGATTTTAAAATAGAATTTATGGCATATATACAACAGGTGATGTCCCATTATGGGATACAAGCTTAAAATTGTAAAATTGTATAAATATCTTTTCAATAGCACCATTGTTTCCCTGTGACTGTAAAGATAACACAGATAATAGCAAAAGTTTGAAATATGATGCCTTTCCCAAATGGCTCTCCCTTCCTACTTTGATAGGCTCTAATTAGGTACCTTACATAAATGCCCTGTGGAATTTCTGATACCTGCCCTAGCAGGTTGAAGGGAGATTCAAAAATGAAGTAAGGCTCCTAGTCATAGTCATAGGCAGGGAGCCATCTCAATTTTTGGAGCACAGAACTGGGAGTGGGGAGACAGCAGGCATACCAGCACCCTTACATGCCAGAGAAGTGAGATTAACATGACGCGAAAATTAGCCTCTTCTCTCCCGTTCCATCTTAAAAAAAAAAAAATCAAACCATTGACAAAGAATTGCTAAAATGGGACCTGTTGCTCCCACACACCAGAGCCACCCTGGACAAAAGCCAGAGTCCCAGCTAAGAAAACAGTCTGCCTTCTTCCCACGGTAACGTAGGCTTTGTTTATATCATTCCTTGGCCACTCCATCCTGGAAATGTAAGACTGGCACAGTCAGTAGATGGGGGCGAGTTCGTCTAGGAGCCTCCCCAACTCAGCATCAACACCTCCCAGGGCGTTCCCTCCTGCCCTGGACTCATCTCTCTCATCACGTGCCAATCCTGGGATCTGAGAGAGGGTAGTCTTGGCATCAGCCCCCGCAAGGCTGCAGCTCCCACCTGTAGCTTCCTTTGGCTGTAGCTTCCGAGTTCCTCGATTACAACGTGCAATGGGTCAGGTGGGCAATGTCTTTGATCTCCGGACAGTAGAGCACTGCGGGAAAGAAGAAGGGTTAGTGGCAGCAGAGCAAGCCAACGAACCCCAGCGTTCCTCGGCGCTCTCTCCCCTGCATCCTCCCCTGGCAGCCCCTCACCGTTGCTAGGCAGCGGACGCCGCCAGCGGCGCGCGGGCGCCAGGACTCTGTCCCAGAGCCTCCGGAGGACGCACCACCCAGCGCTTCTAGGCCCCGCCCCCTTCTCGCTCTCCCTTTCCTCCTCCGCCTCTCCTTCAGCGTCGCCGCTTTCCTTGGCCGGGTTCCCCGCCTCATCTCGTTCGCACTCGGCCCGCGCTTTTTTCTCCAATCGCGACCACAAGTCCGAGTCGAAGGCGATCTCCGCGACGCCGCCGCGCGGGAGCGGCGAGGGCGCCCGGCAGAAGGGGCACTTGATCACGCGGCGCAGGCGCACCACGCGCGCGGCAGCCCCGCCGCCGTCCCCGCGCGCCGCCAGCTCGCGGAGGCAGGCGGTGCAGAGCGTGTGGCCGCAGCGGGCACGCGCCGTCCCGGGCAGGCGGCGGGGCGCGCGGACACCGAGGTTGAAAGGGCGGTAGCATATGTTGCAGTCCAGCTCGCCCCGCTCCGGAAGAGAGGGCACCCTCACCAAGAGCTGCATCGTGCCCGCCGCGGATTCGAGGACGTCGCTAACGCTGCTGTCTCCGTGGACAAAACGAGCAGACCCTTCTGGGGCCGGCGCCGCGGCCTCTTTCCCCTTTTAATAGGGGAATAAGTGAGGCTCCACCCTTCGAAGAGTCATGCCTTGATCCGGCCGCTCCCCGTGGTGGCACGTGTTGGGGCGGTGGAGGTGTGAGGCCAGGAATGACAGCGATGGTGGAGTGGGGGAGGCGGCCCAGACCATGCCAGGACCAGAGCCCTGGGGTCCAAAGCACCCATCCACTCCCTTCCTCTCCACTCCCAGGGAGTGGGGTGGAGCTTTCCTTCTCCCCAAAAGCAGTGCCAGCACTCCTTAATTCTACTATGTGCAAATCCCCAGGTCCTTTTCTGTTCCTGAGCCTTCTGTAATTGGCACAGGTTTCTAAAGACCCCTTGGCCTATTCAGTTTGCTCACAGTGAGTTTCACAATCCCACCCAGTTTCCTAACACTGCCCATTCTGCCCAACCGTTAGTGGTCCCCTGGGCCTTTGAATCTATTTCGTCCTCAGTTCTCATTATACATGAGCTCTCTGTGTTGCTTGTAAGGCTGGCTTCCTAAATTTCATTCTCCTCAAACTGCTCAACCCTCACTGATAGCTCAGCCTAAGGAGGGACCTAGATTCCAGGGCTATGGCTTTAGGAATGCTGGGAATCCTTTCCTTCCGGAGGCCTGGACACCCACACATCATCATGGCCCCAGCAAAGCACCCCAGCATGAGCTCTGACTCAGGGGTCTGACTTCTCCCCCTGGTAAACAGGACATGGCACTCACAACCCACATTCCCTTCATGGTGCCACACCCATACACAGCTGCCTCCTCAACCTCCTCTCCTGAATCTGAAGCCCAGGTTCTGTTGTACAGGGTAATAACACAGTCTAGAGCCAGCTGGCTTGAGTTCAAATCCTAGCTTCCACCTCTTTCTAGCTGTGACACTTTGGGCAAGTTACTTAATTTCTCTGGGCCTTGGTTTCCTAAGTTATAAAATGTGGATAATAATAGTGAGGACTGAATGAGCTTATATGAGGAAAGTGATTCAAACGGTGTCCAGTACACAGTAAGCACCAGGTAAGTGCTATATTAGCTAGTATGATTATCCTGTGCCACCAGCCTTTATTGTATTTGCTTTAACTTCTCAGTACCCAACATTTTCAACACCCATCCTTCTTGACCAATATGTACAAAATGGGCTTCTCTACACCCATGGCATTTACCAGCTATCACAGGCAATGCAGAGCTGGCTTTTTAACCTAAATTGTTAAAACCTACTACGTAATCTTTTTTGAGGAGGTATATCATTATTATCATTATTATTATTATTATTTTCTTGAGACGGAGCCTTGCTCTGTTGTCCAGGCTGGAGTGCAGTGGCACGATCTTGGCTCACTGCAGCCTCTGCCTCCTGGGTTCAAGTGATTCTCCTGTCTCAGCCTCCTGAGTAGCTGGGATTACAGGAACATGCCACCATGCCTGGCTAAATTTTTTGTATTTTAGTAGAGACGGGGTTTCACCGTGTTCCCCAGGCTGGTCTTGAACTCCTGAGCTCAGGCAGTCTGCCCACCTCAGCCTCCCAAAGTGCTAGGATTACAGGTGTGAGCCACCTCGCCCAGCCCCATTATTTTTAAGCAAACATTTCAGAACTTTTGAATGGTATTGTCTGTGATCATGGGAGAAGCTGTCTACTTATTACAGTGATGCTCTCACAATTCAAAACTTTTCTGTCTTAAAAGGACTGGTAGAGCTGGGCACCGTGGCTCTTGCCTATAATCCCAGCATTTTGGGAGGCTGAGGCAGGTGGATAACTTGAGGTCAAGAGTTCAAGACCAGCCTGGCCAACATGGTGAAACCCTGTCTCTACTAAAAATACAAAAATTAGCTGGGCATAGTGGCTCACACCTGTAGTCCCAGCTATTCAAGAGGCTAAGGCATGAGAATTACTTGAACGCAGGAGGCGGAGGTTGCAGTGAGTCAAGATCACACCACTGCACTCCAGCCTGGGCAATAGAGTAAGACTCAGTCTCAGTCTTCAAAAAAAAATTAAATAAAATAAAAAAGGGGGTACTGGTACATGTCTATTGTTAATAAATACATGATAAAGTACAAAACAAAAGACTATGAGGAAATGATAACTTTACCAAGCAGCGCCCACAATCAACTGTACCCTCCATGGTAAGCATTACAGGCATGAGCCATTGCACCTGGCCCATCTTAATCTTTTAAGGTAGATTTGATGATGTAAATGCTCCCAAAATGCTAGATAGCCTAAGGCTCGAGACATCAGTTGCCTGCTCCACAGCCCTTGTTGTTTATCTCCAAGAACCCTAATGGATGACCTCCATGTCCAAATCAGCATTTCTTCCAGTTTTCCGCCCCTTTATTTGCCCAATTCTAGAAACCTAGATGTTATCCTTGGTCTTGCCCTTGCCCTTGCTTTCCTGTACTGACCCATCAGCAAGCCAGGTCTATTTTGCCTCTTAAATATCTCTCTAATCACTTATTTCTCTCCACCTCCACCATACCACCCTAGTCCAAGCTGCCACCGTCTCTCGCTTAGGCTCTAGCAGGAACCTCCTAACCAATCCCCATGGGCACTCTGGCCTTCTGCAGGCTTCTCTCTGTATTTATAGTAACCTTTCCAAATTTCAAACCCAATCATGTCCTACCACCCAGTCCTTCCATTCTTGTTTAAAATCTTTTAGGCGGGGTGTGGTGGCTTATGCCTGTAATCCCAGCACTTTGGGAGGCCAAGGCTAGCAGATCACCTGAGGTCAGGAGTTTCAGACCAGCCTGGCCAACATGGTGAAACCCTGTCTCTACTAAAAATACAAAAATTCAAAAATTAGCCAGGCGTGGTAGTGGGCACCTGTAATCCGAGCTACTAGGGAGGCTGAGGCAGGAGAATCCCTTGAACTGGGGAGGCAGAGGTTGGAGTGAGCTGAGGTCATGCCACTGTACTCCAGCCTGGGCGACAGGGCAAGACTCAATCTCAAAAACAAACAAAAAAACTTTTAATGTGGTGGCTTAATCATGGCCCCAAATTCCTCTGCAATGTGACTTTGCTGCTTCTCACATCAGAACTGGGGTCTCCTTCTCTGTCCCTTGAATCTGGGCTGACCTTGTAAATAGCTTTGAACAACAGATGTGGCAGAAGTGATGTGTGAGTTCTGGAACCTAGTCCTTCAGAGGCCTTGTAGCTTCTGCCCTTGTCCCCTTGGAACACTGCCCTGAGACCACCATGTAAGGATGAGGCTACATGGAGGAGTGCCAGCCATACCTGCTGGTAAGGCCATTATGTATTTTCCTGCTCAGTTGTCCTGCTGTTTGAGTGCTGGGAATCGTTTGAGTGCAGCCATGTGAGTGAGCCTAGGTGAAAATGGCAAAGGAACTCCCAGCCAGCCCACAGAATCGTGAAAAAGAGCAGTTTTAAAAAGTTATTTCTGCTGAATGTGGTGGCTCACACCTGTAAAACTAGCACTTTGGGAGGCCAAGGTGTTTGAGATCAGCCTGGGCATCATGGTAAGAACCTATCGCTACAAAAAAAAAAAAAACAAAAAACAAAAAAAAAAACAAGCCAGACGCAGTGGCGCACATTGTCCCAGCTACTCAGTAGGCTGAGGTGGGTGGATCACTTAGGACATCGAAGCTGCACTGAGCAGTGATCGCATCAGTGCACTTCAGCCTGGGTGACAGAGTGAGACCCCATCTCTTAAAAATAAAAAACAGCTAAAACCAGGTTCTTGTTACATGAAAAAACAAAAAGAGGAAAAGGAAAAAAAAAGAAAATAAATAAAAAGTTATCTCAGGCCACTAACTTTGGTGGTGATTTGTTGTGTATCAATAGATAACTGATATAGAGGGATTCCTACCGTTTTTTCCTAGTATGATAAATATAATATTTTTTGAGACAGGGTCTTGCTCTGATGCTCAGGCTGGAGTGTAGTGGCATGATCTTGCTCACCGCAGCCTCAGTCTCCCAGACTCAAGCCATCTGCCCACCTCAGCCTTCAAGTAGCTGGGACTACAGGTGTGAGCCACCATGCCCGACCAATTCTTGTATTTTTGTAGAGATGTGGTCTCCCCATGTTGCCCAGGCTGGTCTTGAACCCCTGGGCTCATGTGATCCACCTGCTTCGGCCTCCCAAAGTGCTGGGATTACAGGCATGAGCCACTGCACCCGGCCTAGATAAATATAACATTGTAAGGTACCCTGTAAGCCCCTGTATGTTCTGAACTTACCCATGTCTGTCTGTCTTTCTTCCTCCCCCTTTCTTTTCTTTCTTTCTCTTTTTCTCCTTCCTTCCTCCCTCCCTTCCCTTTCCTTCCTTTCTTTTTTTTGAGACAGTCTTTCTCTGTTGCCCAGGCTGGAGTGCAGTGGCACAACCTTGGCTCACTGCAACCTCCACCTCCCGGGCTCAAGTGATTCTCCTGCCTCAGCCTCCTGAGTAGCTAGGACTACAGGTGGGCATCACCACGCCCAGCTAATTTTTTTTATTTTTTTTATTTTTATTAGAGACGAGTTTTCGCCATGTTGGCCAGGCTGGTCTCAAACTCCTGACCTCAAGTCATCCACCCACCTCGGCCTCCCAAAGTGCTGGCATTACAAGTGTGAGTCACTGGGGCCGGCCATTACCCATGTCTCACTTTCTGTTCCATTCCTCTCTAGACACTCTGGCTTTGGGGACTTTTGGCTTGTATGTTCCTTTCTGCCACAGGCCTTCATATGCTCTTAACCCTCTTGCTTAACCCCTGTTAACATCTATTCATCCCTCAGCACTCAGTGCAGCCTCATCATGTCAGATAACCACTGTAGACTCGGTAACACCATGTGCTTTCCTCTGGACTTTGGACAACTGAAGTTTGTATTTATTTGGCGGTTCTGTGATTGTCTCTCCCCTCAGCAAGATGTATGAAAGTTGTTGAGAGTCTGGTTTTGTTCACCCTTATATCCCTGGGCCACACCATAATAGGACTGAATAAACAAATACTTGCTAAATTAATGAATGATGTGAGCGATAAATATGGCAAATGTCTACATACAAAGGAGGTGTGACACTAAAGGAAGGTTTTGTTGTTGTTGTTGTTGTTAAATCAAGGGATTTCCAAACTGCCTCTGAAGGTAATTCTAGTAGTGTTTTTCAGCAAAGGAGCAGGCTTCATTAAAATACCTGCATAGCCCTCTAAGATAACTATTTAAGGGGAATACTATTTGGGATTGATTAATTCTTGTATGTTTGTTACAGAATAACTAATCATAGTTTAGTCATACATTTTACTTCCTTGTTTCCTCCACAGTCTTGCAAAATGAGTGGGTGATGATGGGGGTGGATGTAAGTATTAATTGGTTGATGCGGTTGGCTGCTAATCCAGTAAATGGCATTCTGCTGACTTTTTTCTTTTGGAAATTGGTTTTACTCTGCTCGCCCAGTTTTTGGATCAAGGCAGGAGGAGGATGGGTAGAAGGGAGATGGGGAGGTTCTATTTATGGAAGGCAGAGCTCATCTTCCTCTGTCTTGTGACCTTTAAGGTTGTAACTTTCCACCCAGTTCTGTCCCAATGAAATGATAACATCTTTTCTTCTCTCTATTCCCTCAACCTCAGACCATTCTTCACTTTACCTGTCCACCAAATCATAAAGCCTCAACCTCAGAATAGCATTTCCCACTCAGCCACAAGTTCCTTGGCATACGTGTGGGTATCAGTGAGAGAGAAATGAGAGGTACAAGAAAGAAGTATGGCTAATATCACTTTAAATACAAACAAACAAAACAAGAGCAGATAGCTAGGTCTTTCATAGAAAGAGAAGGAACAAAATTATGAAACCAGATTTCTGGGTTCTAAGGAATGTGGTAAACTGAACGAAGAAAACTGAGGCCCAGGGTATCTGGTGCCTTGGTCCTTGATGAGAAAAGTGACTAGGAGCCTGATGCCTGGGTCACCAAGGTGAATGGGCAATGGAGACAAAGCTAGTGCTAGGAACTTTCTAATGTTAGGGCGCCAGACGGCCAGACAGGTGAGACTGTGACCCTAGCCTTCCAACCCCCTGCAACTTCAGACACTGTGAGAATCAAGCTGAGGTTTATTTACAGTTCCCTGGGAAGTCTTACAGAGGAGGGGCCGTCATTATTGCTTTAGAGTTATTGCCAGGAGGAAGACTGCAGTTCTCCGCTGCCAGGTAGGAGGTCCTGCTCAAGGCTCAAAAGTCTGTACCCAGACCTTTTATGT